TATTAATTATATCACAATGTGCATTAAACAAATAATTATCAATATACTGTTTGAAACAATTACATAAATTATTTTTCACTAGAATTATAAAGCAGATAATCCTTTTAATTGTTTCAAACAGTGTTATTATTACACGAATATCACAATTTTGCACTGAAATTAACACAGAATTATATATGTATATATACATATATAAAAGCATCTAACAATAATACAATATTGCACAAAAGAAATTTAATAATTTTTTAAACAGTTAATTTCCATTTAAGTAGCGCAAAACAAGTCAACGCAAGCGTCAGTCAATCTCTGTTGTTAACTAAATGTTACAAAAAGAGAGAATGACTCTTCCGTTGATTCTACTGTAAACTTAACCTACCAAAAAAAGATTCTTCAATCTTAAAGTGTGTATACCATGTAACTACATAAAACACACATGTTACATGTATATAGTTATGTACTATATACCACGTATGACATACAAGAATATTTTAACTAATATTCCAATCTTCACGAGTTAATGATTGTAAAAAAAGCAAAATGTTAAGTCTTTTTGGTGTTAACCGATTTCTGGCCTCTGATTTAATTATACCCGCTTTTGAAAACAAACGTTCAGAAGGGACAGAAGTTGCGACAATTGCTAAATATTTCTTTGCTATGTTAAACAACGTAGGATATGCAGGTTTTAAAGTTTGCCAATATTGTAATGGATTATGATACCTTGCAATTACAGGTTGATTTAGATGTTGGCGTAATTCTACATTAATTCCACCAGGATTGTCATGAGTAACAGTAGATGATATTACCAAGTTATCATGAAAAGCCCACAAACCTTCATGTTCTTTACAATCATTACTCGATATTAATGCATTAGCATTAACAGACTCTATCTCATCTGTAGGTACTTGTATTAAGTTATTAATATAAGTAACTGCAGAAGATACAGCCATTGGTTGTTGAAAATGAATTTTTTTAAACCTAGGATCTAGGATTGTAGACACTGCTAATATTCGATTTTGTTCAATTTTATGAAATCTACGTTCACTCTCTGACAAGATATTTTTCTTTAATATTATACCTTCTTTAGTTGTAGAGATATAATCATGAATTGCTTTTGTCATACAACGTATTATGGGAATTATTATACTACACGTTGGATATAAATCCCCTCCAATTTCTTTAGTAGCCAATTCAATTGGACGTAAAAGTTTTACCATATCATGCAATATATCAAATTCTTCATGTGTAATCATCTCTACATATATCGGAGATTTCAATATTATAGGGTAGATGTATTCTCTCAACATTAGAAATCGTTCAATCATATAGAATGTGGAGTTCCAACGAGTTGGAACATCCTGTTTAAATTTTACAATAGTTCCCTCTGTTTTTCCATCACGTTTTTGCAAACGTATTAATTCATCAGAAGCTACAACACTTCTTTTGACAAACGTAACAGTATTTTTTACTTTTGTTATTATCGTTTCTATTAAATGTATCGTTTTGAGACTGTCAGGAACCAAATGAGCCAAAACATGTGCCATGCAAGGAATATGTTTTTTTACATTAAACAAAGAATTTACTGCGTTAACTATGTTAGGAGCGCTGTCAGTAACAACAGCCACAATGTTTGATAAATCAATGTTGAAAGATTTAAATGCCAAAAGCAATTCATTCTTAATATACTCTGATGTGTGATTTGTTTCTAAAGGAATCACACCTATAGTACCTTTCACGAATAAAGTTTCTGTTTTCAAATAGTGAATAGTAATACCCAAATAACTTTTATTCGAAATATCAGTCCAAATATCACATGTTACTGTGATAGAACTGTGCTGTATATTATCAATAAATTTACGTTTTAAAACTTCGTACTTAGAATCCAGTAACTTTGTAAGTGTTTTCCTACATGGTACCTTATATAAAGGAGCAATAGTTTTCATTAATAGTTGAAATCCCTCGTTTTCCACTGTTGATAAAGGAAAGTTATCTTTTGCAATCATATATGCAATTGAATTAGTAATATTGCAAGCCGTGGTGCCTCCATCTACAAAAGTAAAAAAATGATATTGAGAATTAATATGCAACTGTATATTTTATAATACAATTATAAAAATATAATAATTTATGTTCATTTATTTACCATTAAAAGAGTTAATGTCTTGAAAACAATCATCAATTCGTTTATGACATATCTATAAAAAACATTAAATTTTAGTTTTGTAAATAGCAAGACTTTATCTTATATCATTCATATGAAGTAATAAAAGATATAAGAGCCAAGACAGGATGTTAGTGTCTAAATGATTTTTAATTTTTAAATTTATTATGTACCACCACCGGTGGGGTACACTGTGCCATTTTGCGATTTTTTCAACCGATTTATTTAAATATCTTTGATCTTTTTACAGTAATGATTGCTGCTTTACTGTATACACCAAGGTCTATAGAAATTGAATATGAATGGTATTTTTTCATTATACTATTCTGGTAAGAGTACTAATTCATTGGAAAAAAGAGTGACACATTGTGCCCCACTCTCCCCTATATATGAACATTTTGTAAATAAACTTATTGTTAATCCTTCAATTTAGTTACCTTTTTTATGTGAGTTGGCTTACATGAACCAGGATCGTCTGGATCATCAATACAAATTTCATTTTCATCTCTATTTTTTAAAATATTGCTGTTGCTTTCTTGTTTATTTTTAGTTTTATCAAGATTTTCCTGGTCCAGTGAAGCGTTAGATTGTAAGTGCAATGTGTGTTTCCTTTGCAAATGTTGTATTAAATTTGTGGTATTACCGCCATGTTTTAGGACTTTTGTACATATGTTACAAGAAGCAGATATTTCATCTTTTTTTGTAAAATACTTCCAAACAGCACTCTTTTTCTTTGTATTCATTTTGTTCTAAAAAAGTACACAGTCTATTACAATACAAATACAAAATAACATATATAGTTGTATATATAGTACCCAGCAAACACAAAGTAACAGTTGTAAGTTAAAATTTCCTACTTAACAATATAACTGTTACATAACACACGTGTTATATATATGTTATATGTATATGATTTTTAACTGTCTTCTTATATAGAAATGGTACCCGAGACCATAAACGGTCTCAATACGACGATCTTTGTCCATTTATTTACTCACTCGGATGAGCCACAAGCAGGATTAATCCCTAGGTGTAGAACGGGTAATCTCCTTCTTCTTCTTCTTCTTCTCATTAATGGCACTCGGCTCTAGCACAGAGCCGACACGACCACGTCGAAGCAATAGTCGCAAAAATGTCAGCAACCAACACCATAACAGTCGATACAACGACAAACAGTTCACACAATGCAGAGGCCCAATTATCGGGCCTCGCACGCGGTGATGCAATCGGATGACTCCCCCGAGTATTAAAAATTCCTCTTCGGCCAGAAGACGTGCGAATCGTTCAATATCCCAAACGGAACTCTAGAACGGGCAATGGACACGCACAAAGTGCGGACTTTCTCGGCAGTGTTAGAAGATGCATAGCAAAAAGTTCCAAAAGTAAAAATGGGCGTAATGGCTCCTGCCCACTGAACGCGGTAACGTTGCCGCGCGGCGGAACTTGGCATATTCACTGAGAGTAGCTACTTTGTTCGAGGCCGACAAACTCATTTCGTGCCTGCAAGTACATAAACGCTATCATGTATACAGCCATCGCCTTTTACATGAAATAACCGAAAGAACTAAAGTACCATATGTCGCATATACTGGTGTCACAAGTTCGTTTGACAACGGGATACTTTTGACATCCTAGATTATTCCACCAGTCGGTTTGAACATTTGACAAGAGCCACTTTCTAGATTCGAGATTCTGCAGCAACGCCAAGGAAAATTTGTCCGTTACGCGATCGGAATCTTCTGGAGACGGCGCCACGTCCAATCGAGCATTACATATTTGCGTTGGCAAAGAAATATCATTCTGGTCGGTCCCTTCTTCTTCCGTCAAATCGGACCATTCCTATAAAATTAAAAGCGTTACAAATGACAATCTTATTGAAATGTATCCCTCACGCAGATACCTACACTCTCGCTATCGTCGCTCTTGTAATCACAAAAGAAATCCTCCTGACCTTCCTTCAAATATTGCGCCCAGTCTATTTCCTCTGTGATGCTATCCTCGTTTTCAGTAACCACGTTAAAACTGTGCTCGCTGCGCGCGAGTTTCAGACTGTCCAAGCTGGACTTGTGAGTTTCAGTGGACAGATCCAGCAGGAACGTCAACAGGCACCACTGCAGATCGTACTGCGGATGCTGCTCAAAGTCGAAGCTCGACAGACAGACAGACAAATGTCTAAAAACATTAAAAATATTATCTATTGATTGGGCTATTAATCGGATTCGTTCTATCGAATATTTCTAATCGGAATTTTGTTAACGGATATCTTTAATTATTACATTACAAATTTAAAAAATAAATTTGTAATGTAATAATTTATATTACATCTGATGCATAATAAACAATGTAATATCGCACGGATGGAAACGGGAACGCACCACGATGCCGTGCACTATGTCCGTCGATCGCACGGATGGAAACGGGAATGCACCACCATGCCGTGTAACTGTCCACTGATTGCGCGGATGACAACGGCCCCGAAACGGGCGCGCACTACGATGCTTACAACTTCCACAGATCGCGCGGATGGCAGCAGCTCGGAGACAAACACGCACTGCGACGCGTAGAACATGCACCGATCGCGTGGACGGCAACGGCTCGGAAAGAGGCGCGCGCTACGTACGATGCCGTGCAATATGTCCGCCGATCGCACGGATGGAAACGGGTGCGCGCTACGATGCCGTGCACTATGTCCGTCGATCGCACGGAT